TCCATCAAAAACCTCTGGGCCATACTCGACCGGCAAGTCATGAAACAACAAAAAAACCAAATGTGAAGAGCGGTCTACTCCAAGTTTTCAAGCAAGAGTGGGTGAAAATCCCACAATCTAAAATTGACGAGATGCCCCAAAGGATCAACGAACTCCACGAAGCGAAAGGAAGATCTACTATATATTAATTAAATTATAAATATATCAATTCATGTGAATATGACTGAAAAATTTCATTTTTTCTGAAAAGGTGTTGTCTATTTACTTGCGACCACGCTGTGTATATGTATCAATAAAGTTAGTTAGACATAGATTTATAGATAGATAGATCTAGGGTGCATAATTTTTAGTTTAGCCATAAAGAACATATAGTGGCGATTTTTAAAGTGAATTATCACAGATTGTCTTGTAATAACAGAATATAGAAGAATTATTTGTCTTGCCAATTGTATCCTAAAGTAATTGAACCAACCTGTGTGGACTTTGACATAAAAGAAACAATTATTTAAAGCTCTGGATACAACTGCTGTAACCAACAGTTAAGTGGTTATTTTAAAATGAAATTATCACAGATTGTATTGTAACAACATAATAGAGAGGAATAATTTGTCTTGTCAAGTGTGTTCTATAGTAAGTGAACAAACCTGTGTGGACTTTTGATGACAATTATTTAAAGCTCTGGATACAACTGTGATAACCAACAGTATAATGAACATTAATACAATATATTAATTTATATTAATAAGCTTATAACATACAGTTGAATAAAAAGGAACCCCTTAAAACAATGTTTCAATATAGAAAATATAAAACTTATACAATGTAAAACATAAATAAAAACACATTGGTCCTTTAACTAAATCAAATACAAACAATATTGAATATAAAAGGGGACCCTTTACTAAAAACTTCTATGACAAAACAAGTACACACAAGAATATCATTATTAAATAATAAAACGTTTCACAAAATTACAGCATTACATCATTAAAAAATGCATTATATACAACCATATAAGTGCCACAGCGGTATGTCTGTGGACTTACAACGCTAGAATCCGGGTTTCGATACCCGTGGTGGGCGGAGCACAGATAGCCCATTGTGTAGCTTTGTGCTTAATTACAAATAAACAATAAACAACCATATAATAACAATTGAAATATGCATACATAAGAAAATGGTTAACGAAATACAATATCTTTACACGGAATTTGAATGGATCCTTCATGAAAACTCTTGAAAAGCTCTTGCAAGTATGTTAGATCAGGTGAGGGATTTTCTCAAAACATTGGACTTCATTACCACATTTTTTCTGTTAGTTGTAAAGTTATTGTCACATGGAAAATAAAGAATGCCATTCCTTTTTAATCAAAGATTTTTCCTAGCTACTGGTAGTCAGTTAATTCCAACCATATTGATCAGGAGGCAGCAGCTTTGGCTCAGCTTACTACTGAAGTTGTTTCTTGCCTATAAGTCTGCCACTTCCTTACCTGGCTCATCATGAATAACCAGATTATTACATTCAGCTTTTTGCTCCTCATACAAATGCTTGATTGAGTCATGACTTTTTATGGAGTTACATTCAAAATTTAGTTAAATTATGTACACACACAGCATTGCTTTACAAATACAGTAAAGCAGCACTAGAAAAGTTAACATGAAATATTAGCCAAATATTATTGAATTGATATGAACAATATCAGACTTTAAACTGTACGTGTGGATAAGTAAACAATTTTATTTTTTCTATGCATTAAAATGTTATGACTGTTAACTAATCATACCTTTAGTAAAAATACCACTTGTTATTTTAAAATAAATTGATGATATATCACATGTGAAGGAACTTGACACTTAATAAATTATCTATATTAAAACAGAGCGTATAGATTTGAGGGTGTTCACTAAGTTCAATCATACAATTCCAGTTATTAGTTTATCAGTAAAAAAATCATATCTTTTCCACACCCTTGTAACAGAGTTACTACGTAACGACAAAGCTCCCATAGAAAAAAATTTAATCTTATAGAAACCCTTGAATCAATTCTAGCAATACATTAAGTTTATTAACAGGTACAACAAAACCACATGAATAACAAAAACCATAAAACAAGTGAGAAACAATATAATTATTATATTTTGTTATGGTTGATTAGATGATTCAGTGGTTAAAGTATTTGCCTTTAACACTGATTAGCCAGGTTCAAATCTGAGAGAGATTTTACAAATTTCACAGCACTTTTCAGGCTGTGGTTGCATTATAAGCATGGATAATAGGTTGGCAATAGTTGCTGCCGATTTTTTGCCTTCCCTCTGGTTGGTATTGCTAAATTAGAGACAGCAGAAGATAATTCAATTGATCTTTGCCACAACAGAAAAACAACTTAATGAGAATGCTGAATTTCTAACCATTTTATCTTTTAATTAACAAGGATAAAAACAGAAACAGTAACATATTTGAATAAAAATTAGATCTGATAAGGTGAGGAATATACAAAATCAAGTTGGAAATTCAAAGTTTCTGATATGATACGCTACCTCCGTTCACATAAATAACTATTCTCGTTCAGTGCTGCCCTCTATATGCAAAATTTTATTCGCATGTCACAAGCCTTGAGCTCCCACATACCCTATGATCAACGTGTTTCAATTTATAGTTATTTGGTTTCAGTAACGTACATTTAATTAGATTTGTACCTACTTCTTGTATGGTTAGGGTTTTTTAATTAATGTTTAGTGATATCTTTTTTGTACTACAGTGTTAGTTTAGACTTAACATGTGTCTTTTTAATTTTAGGCTTACCTGTCATTCATCTTAATGATAAGTTGTAAATTAGGTTAAATATGTTGCTTCTTCAACAAATCCCATCTACAAAGTTTTTAATTGTCAATATACACTTATTTAATTTTACAACATAACGACTTCTTTATTTTCGTAATTAATCATATTTTATAATTATTCCAATTAATTTAGTTTTTGAGGACCCTGGGTCTGTCCAACCTTCCTCCTCAAAGAGCTGAACTCTTTCAGGACAAAATATATTTTGACAATTTTCCTCCACTTGATAATGAATTGGCCTTCCCTGGACTCTACTGCGGAGTTTGCTAGGCATACCACAGTTATTTTTTGCCTTTATGGGGGCAGAATCTGTTAATCCTACCCCTTTCTCCTTAGCCAAGTTTTCCAGTCTTCATCTTCCTGTATCACCTCTCCTATTGGTGTTGACCATGATACAACTCCTGTTATTGTGCTGGGGGTGGTTACTGTTGGATTGGTTTTGAGTGTGATAGTTTACATTGCAGAGACATCTTTACCAAACTGACCATCTGGATGTCGGGTTCCCAGATTGTTCAAACAATTTATCACATTGCTATCATGTGTCCCATTCATAGATCCCGGTCTGCTAAACATGAGATGAAGATGGTATGATCCTCTTTTCTAACCTCATCATGGATGTTAGTTCCCAGTGACTGGGTTTTGGATCATAGTTGACTTACTCACAATATGATCCTCACCTTACCCCCACGTGGATGTCGGTTCCTGGCAGCTGGGTTTTAGATTATAGTTGACTTGTCGCTGGTATGATCCTCTTTTCTAACCTCATCATGGATGTTAGTTCCCAGTGGCTGGGTTTTGGATCATAGTTGACTTACTCACAATATGATCCTCATCTTACCCCACGTGGATGTCGGTTCCTGGCAGCTGGGTTTTGGATGTAGTTGACTTGCTGTGTACAGTCCATTGTGTTGTAGCCACTCTACACCTAGAGGCACATCCTTTTACTCTTATCCACATTAATGTACTCTATGGGATTAAGATTGCAATATTGTGTGGTTTGGATCCCTATCCATCCATTGTTCTTTCCCTTTTGGATGTGCTCCTCCCAATTTCTGCGCATGTTTGCGACACCTGTTTCCACACTGGGTGAAGAGTATAGCTGGTAACGAAGTGGTGCAGTCTTCCACGTATTACTCTCTACTGTGAGGATCTACTCTTGTGGATGTCCTTCGGATGCTTTTTTATGTAAGAGGAGATAATGCACCATATTGGAAGTTATAATATTCCTATACTGAAAATGTATTTCTGATACGTATTTACCTCTTCTCACATTTCCCACCCATCCACCTCATTCAACATTTCAAACGTTTTCTTAAATATAATGGTAAATTCTTTGACTTTGATTACTTGTGCAACACAACACTTCCTATCACATCTCTTAATGTATTACTAAAAACCACCTTTTAATACAGAAAAACAAGAATCAACTAATGATCTAATGATGTGCATCTTTTTATGAGGCAAGATAGGGAAAAATCACATTTTCCGCCCTTCCTTCTTGCTGAAAACTGGTGCTTCCATTTGCTGCCAAAACACAAGGTGTTATTTCAGTAGAATCGAATAGAGGGAGTCACATGTGTCAGGAGGGTGTGTTTCACTCCTATTGGTGGAGGGTTGTTGCATGATGGTTTACATACCAAACACAGTTGAACCACATTGATCTTAGGGTATGTGGGAGCTCAAGGCTTGTGGCATGCGAAAAACATTTTGCATACAGAAGGCAACACTGAACGAGAATAACTATTTATGGAAGTAAGTACATTTTCAGTATAGGAAAATTATAACTTTCAACTCTTTGTATCAAGAAGATTTTTTGACTGGATTGACATATGGATACTAAAACAAGGTCACACTCTGGCAAAAAAAACAAAAATCTGTCATTTCAAACTTTAACCACAAAAAAAGTGGAAAACTTTGAATATGCAGACAGACACACAAAAAGAAATCTCGATTCAATCACATTAATGTTCTGTACTACTGATTTAATAAACAAGAATCAACTAATGATCTAATTATGCACATCTTTTACATAGAAATAAAGGGGTTCCTTATATTGAAAATATAAATCACAGACAGACACGCACATGCTCACATGCGCATCATTTAATGAGGCAAGCTAGTGAAAAGCCACATAGAAGAGAAGTGGTTCTTTATATAACAACTTTTAATATATATATAAAAGCCAGGGTGTTTGAGTGCCAGTGCATTCCCACAATGGCTTTTATGTCATGTTGCATAGTAAGAAAAGTATATAGGTTATGCTTTTATGCTAAAATGGGTTCATAATACACACACTGACATAGTCCTCTAGAATATATAAACCTAATAACCCGAGCAAAGCTGGGTACTTACGCTAGTTAATAATAACAAGATAACAGAAAATGATTTGAAGACAAAACTATATGAAACCATAAGGGTCATTTTTCTGTAAAGTTTGTGATCAATGAAATAATTATATTTATGAAACAAGTTGTTATTAATAAGAAATAAAACAATAGTTAGTGAAGCTATAATGAAATGCTCACGAGTTTTCCACAAACAAGTACTTTCCCATGCCACAAATTTTATAAGCAGCTCTAGCTCCTTTTTATCAGAAATAAGTATAACATAACTTCGTTTATAAATGTCTCAAGTCAAAAACCCCTGAGATTAAAACAAATTCCAACTATACATACAGGTTAAATTGAAATAGTGGTGTTAAAAGGCTGTCTATTATTCGTAGTATATTAGTTTGGGAGAGTGGTATTCGTAGTATATTAGTTTGGGAAAGTGGTTTGCAACACACAGACCAAAGTTAGATGATGAGATGGAGTAGAATGTGTGTAGGTGCTACATCATAGTTGTCAGATCCACTATTTGAATAGAGTAGCCTAAGATTTTGCAGTGGATGATGCTAACTAGCTATAATGATGATGCTAACTAGCCTACTATTTATAAATTAATGCAAATAACTCTCAAGTAGATTTATGTGAAATTAAACAAACTAGTAACACCTCAGACAGCTTTACTTCTTATTAATGGTATTTCCTTAATGAATCTCCTTCATCATAAACTTTGCTCATACCCACAATATTTTGTTATTATTTGGACCACAGTACTAAACATACTAGTTTACTTCAGGTAATGAAGCTTAATTTATGACCATGAATTATAATTCATGAAAGGAATTTAGCAATTTACAAAATTAATTATATATTATTCTAATAGCATAAACAATACAAGTGGATTTTCCCTGCTTATTTTACTATCATTGCATGAAGGGTATAAACCTTATTGTGTAAAGATCATGCTTATATTATATCAAGTTCCAATGCATTAATCTTTATTCAAACAATTGTACAACAAATATATAAATTATTTTTTTTATAGTAAACTACCTGATATACACTCCAAAATTAAGCAACTGGCTAAGAACCAATATCAAGTAGTTGTCTTAGTCACTGCAACAGAAGCTGGTAATGTGGAATTTTTTTGCATTGCACGCAATGGTCATGGATTCACCAAAAAGTCCTTCACCTTACATGTTATTGGTGAGCCTTTGTTTCTTACCTCTTAGTACATGATTCGTTATACTCTAAGGTAAAACTTTGGTTAAATGCCTAAAGTCTTGAAATGTGGTGGCACGTTAAATACTTCAAATGTTATCTAATTAGTTATTTATTTACATGTATTGAAGACTTACTAAAAACTAAGTAATATATTTTCTCTCGCAACTGTAGAATTGTTTTTGAAAGTTTTAATATTATGTAAATGGTTAATCCTTTATCTACTTGAGATTCTGATGATTTGAATGAAATTGATTTTAATATCTGGAAATATCACGCAGCAATAAAAATAGTTTAGTAGCTTGTAGTTTAATTCGTTTAGGAGATATACTTTTACCCAGTAATAAAATAGTTAAGTTTTTTATCAGTTAAATGTTTATAGACCAAGAATTTTTAGAAGGATAAAGATCACTTGAAAATTAGAGTCCTATCTGGCAATAAAACAGTATTGAATAAGATATTTCAGAAGTTTTCATTTTTAGTTTCATTAATCATTTCAGATCCTCCTGTGTTGAGGGAGCGACCAAAAATACTTAGTGTGAATTCCACATCTGTAACTGTAGGTTGGCGTCCATGGGAATTTGAAAAAGATGAGGGTGGGAAAAAATCTGATAGAGTTAATTATATGGTATTGATATAAGATTGTTGTATTTAACATGCAATTTTTAATTTATTTTAAATGTAAGGAATTTTAGAATGAAAACAATGTTAAACTAAGTGATACAGTTTTGAATTTTTTGATTATGAAGATCTACTTATGTATGGAAGAACCACAGTTTAATTTAAAATTTAGGTTTTTTACAACTAATTCAAGCTTCTATGATGAACCTAGTAATATTTTATTATCAACGTAGTATTTTGATATGTAAGCCTAAATAGATTTTGTATGAAAAATTAGACTATCTGATTCAGCAAAAGTATAATCAAATTATAATAAATGGAAATATTACTTTCAATCCTTGTTTTTTTTCAGTTTATATGAAATTTATTTTTGAAATAAAAGTGTTTTGAAAGATAAATAGTTACTACAAATATGAATTATCTACATTTCATTATCTGATTGTATTATTTTAATCAGTTAATTACACAGTACAGATACAACTTTTTGTTATGGTTAATTGATTCCTATTTGTATGATTGTTAACTGGAAAATCTCATGCTTGTTTAGGTAGTTTATCGTGAGAAGAAAGATATTCAGTGGCAGAAGCTAGACACCTGGCAATCAGGATTAAGTGCCATCATTCCAAACTTACTGCCTGACACAGAGTATGAAGTAGCCGTTAGATGCCAGAGAGTAGGACGTGGGGGAGAAGGGAAACCTAGTCTGAGTATTTCCATTCATACACTGTGTGGAAGTAATTATTATGCAATTAATTACTAATTAAGTAATTAATTATTATTAATTGTGTTTAATTATACTATGTTACTAAGCAGTTGAAGCTTTTAGTTAGCGAACATTGTCATTTCATAAACACAACTTATCTCACTACATCACATGCTGTGAAATTTCCTGTGCATACCACAAGCCTTGAACAAACTCCCATACTTACACGGGTCTACATATATTATGCCAGCCTATGATGTAATCATCATAATTCTGTAGTCCTCCACCAGTATGAGGGCAAAATAATTACCTTCAAATATGGTAGTTCCTGTGAGCACTAGCACATGATCATAGGCTTATTCTTTTCTCGGCACTGCGTGTGTTCAGACATGATTTATCCTGTGCTTTTTGAATTTTTTGCCCTCTTAATTAACTGCCTTTTTTCTTTAGTTATACATTACTTTAATCCTTATTGGACTTTTGTTCCATCCAATTGATTGCAAATTTGTTTTCTCCAGCCACCACATTTCTGCTTTCAACCTAATATGCCATGTAAAATATATATATAAAGGCCTGAGGCCCAAACCTTCCTTTTCAGCAATTTTCTCCAAGTACTTCAAACTCAACTGGAGACACTTTATCTTTCTATAGACATGACATTCAGTTATTATCCATTTAGCTCACTTAGTAGAGCACATGCTTGTGTATGACAGGTCTTGTATTTGACTCAGTGATGATGTCAGTTTAACATTGTAGATAACTTATCTCTCACAATCTTATTGAGTTGTACTGAACGATGAAATACCAATAAGTTAATAAATGATATTCCTGCTTTCCTGCATCATATGGTTGGTTTCCTTTTGCATTTTTCTTTTCTGGTTCATGTCTCTAGTAGTCTTCTGTGAAGCCTGCCTCACCTGTGGACAATTTTGACCAGCTCTTTCACCTTTAGTCTTTGTTTCTGGCTCTTCTTTCCCTGATGAGGAACAGTTACTTTCCCTTTTTCTGTTTGCTATGCTCATGAATCAGGAACGTGATATTCTGTCTTTTCTACCTGTTTATCATAATGTCAGTTTGGTTGTTTTACTTCCTGTGTCTCCTTCTACCTCAACTCTGCATTGTCCTACTTGTCTTTGTGACTTCTATTCTATGACTTCAGGTCATGGCCCTTTTATATTTCTTGATCCCTGATCTCTTGTATCTTTTTTTTTCTACTTGGGATGCTCCTCTTTCTCCTTCTTTGTCTTTCTTTTCAGCTGTTTGTTTATTATTGTCTATCTTTACCCTATTCCTTTATTCTGTCTCTGCCCTTCATCTCCTTGCTGTGGCTTTTCTTTATGATACCAATATTTTTGATGGAAACACCTATTATTCTTTGTTTGCCACATTGGTTTTAATTTTTTCCTATCTTGTCTATTTTTTTATGGTTTCTTGTTTTTGATATCTCCTTATTCAAATGTCCACACCCTTTCTCTTATATCCAGGACCTTCATCTCACTAATTTGCCTACAGTCCTGGTCTTTGGGGGTGTTCCTAACATCTTGAAATCTTGGGCCAAATGTCCACACCCTTTCCTCTTATATCCAGGACCTTCATCTCACTAATTTGTCTATAGTCCTATTCTTTGGGGGTGTTCCTAACATCTTGAAATCTTGGGCCAAATGTCCACACCCTTTCCTCTTATATCCAGGACCTTCATCTCACTAATTTACCTACAGTCCTGGTCTTTGGGGGTGTTCCTAACATCTTGAAATCTTGGGCCAAATGTCCACACCCTTTCCTCTTATATCCAGGACCTTCATCACACTAATTTGCCTACAGTACTGGTCTTTGGGGTGTTTTTAACATCTTGAAATCTTGGGCTTAGGTTGCTCATCTGCAATCTTTTATTGTTTCTTTGAATTTCTGACTTTCTGGTCCATAGGTACCTCTGTTTGCCACTCACCCTTGAGAGTCATGCTGGACTATCCCCTCCTGTTCCTTGTTCTCTTGCTTTTGTTCTGAATAGTTAGCTATCATGGCTCTTGGCAGTGACTCTTCTATCGAACTAATCCTTGGTTCTGGTCCCATCAGTACCCACCTCTCCCACTTTACTCTCTGGTGTTCTTCCTTCTCCTGTGACCCTATGGTTCCGCACATTCTTTCTCACCATTTCTCTCTCTCCCCTTTCAAACTCCACCTGTTCTTTCTCATCATCCTCTTTTCCAACCTCTTCCCAATGATTTCATTTTGAGAACATACTATCCTCCTAGTTGGTGGTGGGAGCTATAGAACATGTCTCCCACCCCACTCAGAGCTTTTATTCCCATCCCTTGAAATTGGGGTTAAATGCCCTGTCATCAGCTTGTCGTTTCTGAATCATGTTCTCATTATACCTCAATTTTGGGTGGACAACTTTCTCACACTGCATTGGGCCCTCTCTCTGTGGCTGTGTTTACCAAGGTAAACATTTCAGTGCCTTCCTTCACATTCCCGTTTGTTCTTTGTCCTGTAATTCCTTCAGTTTGTCTTCAGTGGTTGTTGTTTTCAGTTACATACAGCCCCTTATGTTTTGGCTAGATCATGCATTACTTCACTTGGTTCATAAGCCTTCATTTACAATATTATATGACTGATTTGCTTCTTCTATCCCCATCTCTATAGGAATTTGTGATTTCTACCCTTACTCATCTTCTAGAAGCCTCTCACATGGGCTGGCTGGTCTAAGTTTTCAAGTCCATTTTGACTCCTACACTGTTTCATGTCCACCTGAGGTATTCCTCAACTTTTATGTGAGGCAAGCTCAACCCTCTCCCTTGTGACATTTGTGTCATAGGGCGGTGCAATACATGTGGAAATTGGAGTTTGTTCAAGGCTTGTCGCATGCACAGGAAATTTTATAGCAATTGCATGCAAAGTAATAGATCTTAGTGGTGCAGAGAGCTAAGTATCTAACTGTAATACATTTTAAGTTAAGAAAAATGTTAACTTTTGTATTTTCCATTTTCAGTTTGATATTTTACCCTTGTTATGGTTCTACCTTCATTCCATTTAATTGAAATAACATACTCAAGTCTCAAACTTTTGTTCTGCTACATCTTGTAGCTGATCAACTCCTTTTGAGTTTCATGATGATGTTTTCTGACACATCCCATAATAATGATGTCACTTTATACATGTGAAAGAAAGTCATTAATTTTGTATATGTGTTTGAAAGTTTCTTACTGATACTGTGCACCCGTGTAAAATTAATCTGAAATGTACCTGCTAACAAAAGAGAAATTTCAATTAATATTAGTCATAATGTATAGTCATTAGTATTAGTCATAATGTATAGTCATTAGTATTAGTCATAATGTTAGTCATTAGTATTAGTCATAATGTATAGTCATTAGTATTAGTCATTAATATTAGTCATAATGTATAGTCATTAATATTAGTCATAATGTATAGTCATTAATATTA